GCAACCGAGAGAGTGAGATTGCGGGTTTGCCGAGAGGGTAAGTTTACAAACAAGTACGATCAAAACCCACAAAATCCAGATAATCACTCAAATCGATCGATAGATATAGAACTCACCTGAAATTCAAAACCCACAAAACTCAGATAATCACTTAAATCAATCGATAGATATAGAACTCACCTGAAATTAATCACTCAAATCAATCGATAGATATGGAACTCACCTGAAATTCAAAACCCAAAAAACTCAGATAGTCACTCAAATCAATCGATAGGTATAGAACTCACTGAAATTAATCACTCAAATTAATCAATAGATATAGTAATCACCTGAAATTCAAAACCAATAAAACCTAGATAATCACTCAAATCAATCGATAGATATAGAATTCACCTGAAATTCAAAACCCACAAAACTCAGATAATCACTCAAATCAAATCGATAGATATAGAACTCACCTGAAATTTAACACCCAACTTGATCACCATAATACTCGTCCAAAATTCGCTCGGTTGGTTGACGAGAACCCGAAATCGCCGAGAGGGTAAGTTTACAGACAAGTAGGATCAAAACCCAGCTCAAAAACTTCATCTCTATCTCTCAGAAATTCCACGAATCCCAGATAATCGAAAAAGAAATATTATCGAGACAAAGAACCAAAAGCCCTAATTTCCATTCTATTAGCAAAATAAGTGATGATGCTTAATCGAGGGAAAAGAATCACTCAAATCAATCGTTTATTAACCCTACTATGGAAATCGAATCTCAAAATTAGAATTTGTCTTAGTAACTTTTTTAGGGTTTGAAAACTTCTGCTGAAACCCACTAAACGATAAATCTCAAGAGAGTTTTTATTAAGCTGTTAAGAAAGGTGTTGCAGAATACAAGTGTTTAGGTAATGAATTTCGGATCTCCTATGCGGAGGATGTACATGTGTATTTATACTAGTCTAAGTCGGCTAGAACTAAGCCTAAAACAATAAGGAAAACTTCTTTTTCCTTCGGGATTTCCTCTTATCCGCGTTGAGCTTCTTAGAGACTTTCTTTTATTTGCGGAGAGCTCAGCTATCCACTAAGTCGGCTAGCTCTTGGACCTGCTCCATATCGACTCACTTTGATAAAGACCCAGCGGACGGTCGGTTAAACATCGGCTCGCCAGTTTAATGTCAAACCATTGTCTTGATAAACTGTCCGCCATTTAACTCAACACTTAGTCATTTTTAGGATTATTGATTCCGATGGGAGGAATTTGACCCCAACACTTCAAAACTCAGCTCGAAAACTTCATCTCCATCTAGCGAATTTTATTTTAGGATGAAGAAAAAGAGGATCTTGGCAAAATAAAATAAAATTTGTTCTTACTTTTTTCGTAACATAAAACCAAAAAATTGTAGAAAGAAACGATCGTATTGTTGTATTTATTTACCACCCAATCAGAAAACACCATTAACAGGTGAAAAAAACACTAGAAATTTACATGAGAAAAGAAAAAGAAAAAAATCTCGAGTTTCTTGTTTTGCAAGTCTTCACTTGTTCACTTCAAGTCCTTAATGAGGTAAGGTACACCATTAGAGCAGTACAGAGTTACAGACGATAGTCACTGCAAACGTTCCCAAGACCTTTGCTTCCTCGCCTTCAAGATTAGGGTTCATCATGGTTGCTAGTGCGATAAGAAGAAACATCACGTATACACAAACAGCGGATCCCAAAATGGTACCAACGTGAACATCATGTTCAATTATTCCGAAACTGAGAGGTAAGATTCCGCCACAAAAGAAACAAAAAGCGCCAAGTAACCCTTCAACGAAACACTCTGATCACTCGCCATTGTCAATTGCTTTCGAGATAAACTGCAAGACACCACGCGCGATCGCTCCGACCAAGAAAGCCATCATAGGATTCATCACGGGGTCTTTTCCACCAAATTGAATAAGAATCACAGGCACTGCAATCAAACCAGCACCTAGGCTTTTTGCGACTTTCTTTGCCAAATCCATGAGGAAGAGAAAACGAAGATTCAAGATTCAAGATTCAAGTGAAGAAGACGGAGAAAAAAGCGGTGAATTTGTATTGTTTGATTTTCGTTATAAAAGCTCAAACAAATTGCATAATAGTCCTCAGTTATTGAGGTTTCACCATTAAAAAGACCCCAAAGAAAAGAAAAAAGTTGACATAACGGAAATTGTATTGAGGTACATAGAAATTGTAATTCCCATCGTGTGTGACAATATAATTGACCTTAAAGTTATTTTATTTAATATCGTTTGGTTAATCATATTTTTAATTAATGTTGAACTTTTGTTATAATCATATAACTTTATAAATATAACAAATTTCAATATTACAGAAAACATGATAGCTTGTCGATTAAATATATACATCTAAAAATTTCCAATAATTTTTCTCATACAAAAGTTATTGTTTCGTTTGCTAGCAATCCAGTTGTTAGATCTCATAAAACTATTAACCATCGATGAAATTAATGTTGGTTAATTCAAAATATTTCATAACAAAGAAGTTACAAACAAAAATGATGCTTGTATATTATTGTTTTTTTTATTTCTATTTGAAACTTTTGTTTTAGTTTAACTTCAAACCGTCTTTTTACCTTTTGATAGATAATTTTTTTTTAAAATACTCATCATCTTAATCATATTCAATTTATACCAAAAATGTTTACATATACACTAAGTGTCAATTCAACATTTTTGTAAAGTAAGACAAAAAAAAAACTAATTTTGTATATTTTTTTTTTAAAGTCGAGAAAAATGTTTATTTATATGCGAGATGCTCTATATATATATAGTCTTGCTATTTTTAATTGTTTCGATATACTAACTTTTACTTTTAAAATACTCTACGCTTTGATAAAAAATAATATACTCTATGCAAGTTCAGAAAATTTGAGACTTTGAGCATACAATGATGAAAGCATTTTCCATTCTATATAAGAAAAAGAGGATCCAAAATACAGACACAAAGAAGACAAAGACCAACCAACCAATAGAATCAAAATTAACTTCTCTCGGTCCTCACCAAGGTTTAAGATCAGCGACCGGTCCTGCCGTCCAGTTCAACATTTTCTCACCTGGTCTAAGATACACGCTCCTCTCATGAGGCAGCTTACGAGCCAACCCATTCAACACTTGATGAAACGCATCCCCTGGTTGAGCCGGTTGCGGGAACAGCATAGCCTGTTTCATTGACGGGTTTGCCAGCAACCTCTGTTTCCTCAGTATAACCTCTGGTGGGATTGATGTGAGTATTGTGTCCAAGTAAGGAACATCCTTCTCATCTACAAACACACCAATCTCTTCCCAGGGGATCGCATCCGCAAAAGGTAACACGATGTCGTCTGCTATGATCACAGGGATGCAACCAAAGATCACGGCTTCCACCAGTCTTGGACTCCACGGGGCCCATCCAAGTGGGCATAAGCAGAAGATTGCTCTCTGCATATCCTCATAATATGTTGTCGGGTGCTCTGTTGAGATGTCGAAAAGCGGATTGTCTTTGAAGTTTTCCCATACAGCTGCTCGTGCGCCCCTGTGCCCATTTTGACAAACAAAACATCATCACTGATTGTATGAGCAACTCAGGGATGGTAAACAGTCCATGAATCTCCATCGTTATGTTAAGTTTTATATCCCAAAAGTCCCAATCAGTAAAGGCATTATGAACTGTTCCAAGAGGTTTGTGAAATTCTTTTAGAACATGGCTAAGCATTCAAAGAAGATATTTTTACCTCGCATAATAGCCACCCTCAGGGTCATTTCCCACGTCATAAAACAATCCTCTGAAATAAACGAAGATGGATCGAGGAGTTTTCTCGGGAATTAAGTGTGACTGCATCTTCTGAGGTGGAGCATACGGAGGAACAGTGATTGAACCTTCTTTTAAGCATACATGATTCCTCTGCCCAAATGTCTGCACTAGTGTAGCTCGTTGAAGCAAGGTTAGTATTCCTCTTCCTATTGCCTTCTCTTCCTGCCACAGTCAAACACAAACAAGAGATCAGCCCGTATCCTTTAAGACAGGTTAGCAGTATTTACTGGCACAAATCTTTGTAATCGCCGAAGATGGTAGTTAGTGCAAACGGTAAAAAAAATCTTTGTAATCATGAGTCAAGATATATATTACGGCCTGTGCCTGAATAAACGCTTCTGCTGCATCCAAAAGGCTTTGCACATCAAGTTGATTGGCAATTTTAGACAGTAAAACTACAAGTATGAGGCATTAAGATCTGCTAAACAATAGCTATAGACTTCTGGTTCCTTGTTCAGTCCAGAAGGAACTACACAGGAACATGAAGAAACATGCGCGTAACCTGAGCATGTATCTCCAAAATACAAACAGAAATCTACCTTAATTGACTAGGAACTCCGTTAAGATGTTGTATGAAACAATGATTTTCTTCACAACTTGCAGAATCAACAGTAGCACACAATCATTCACGAAGCATTGACGAAGCAAGGCAAATTAGGATAGGCAGCAAAAGAGTGGATGCTTTTGTTTACCTGATAATGGAAGCAGGCTCCAAAGTCATGAGGCACAACAAAGAAATGGTCTGCTCCTTCTGTGCGATTCCAGTATGGCCAGTTGGAAGCAATGAGCTGAATGGCACTTCTCATCATTCGAGGCGATTTAAATGGCAGAGGAAGCCCATTGGGCGTGAGATCACAAGTAGTGTACACAGGGACGTAGAACCAATCAGCTTCCTCGGGATTAAGTGTTCGAACTGGACTAGACAAAAGAAATCGTTGCATATAGATCTCAGCCGCAAACATGTGAGTGAGACATCTCGGGTCTTTCTGAAGTATCTTCTTGTTGTATTTGCTTGGAAGCTCATAAACAAATACTTTCAGTCTTCCCACTGGATTATCTTCCAACACATCACCAGCACTACCTAAACATCAGAACCACACCAAAAAAAAATCATGAACACACTTATACCAAAAACACTCATTACCATAAGCAAGGTTTATGGATATGCAGATAGGACAGACTATGTAGCTTAACTACAACAGAACCTCAAAGATAATGCAAAATCAAAGTAAAAGCTCAAAAGCAAGATACTGAATCGGCTAATTGAGGCCATCAACAATTTACAAATCAATCGAGCCTCCTGATTCTACAATTCTTCCACTAGATTATCCAGAAAACCTAGAGAACATCTAAAAAAGAAACTCTATTTCTTCATTCGATTAGCAAACTAAGTGATGATAATACGGAGAATCCAGAGAAGTAAACTGCTAAAATCCAAGTAAAATCAATAATTTTCTCTACTGAAATAGATACAACTCACCTGAAATTCGCTCCGTTGGTTGACTCCGACTCAGACGGAAAGCAGAAATCGTAGAGAAGGTGAGATTACAAAGAAGGAAGATCAAAACCCAGCTCGAAAACTTCACTTCCATCTCTCTAGAAGTTTGATTCCTCAGAAAAGCCCAGATTTTCAGAAGAAAAC